AGTGTTTGCTTTGGGGCATGGCCCTGTTTCTTGCTGAGTTATCTTAGTGAGGGTGAAGGATGAGCTTCGTTCTGCCTAGATGAGCTGAAACCTAGCTGGTATTTGTGGTCCGTGACTAGTTGACTGGGGAATTTATCTGGTAATAACGTTTTATTATCTGCTGTTTGCGCCTTGTTAATTTCCACATGAGCCCTAAATGGCTCTTATCTTCCTTTACCCTCAACTAGAGACTAGTTCCTTTGGAATGGGACCTGTTCGCCCAGAGAAAGTAGCTGGCTGACAAAAATCCACTTACTTTCTTCATCCATGTGTGGGAGGGGGTGGTGGTCACTAAGTAAAATTGAGTTTGTAGGCTAGAGCATATTGATTTAAAACACACAAAGAACGGAGTAGTCAATTGGCTTGATGAGAACAATGGCCAGAGGACGGAGTCCTGATGGCTTCGTCCTGCATGAAAGAGGGACACCCGCAGCAAAGCAAGTCCCAGGACACCCCCACCTGACAGCTTGACGTCGCGCTTTGAGAAGCTGGTGAAGGTTTCTTGGGTGCTAACCACAGGATCCGAATGAGATGTGGGCATGTGGGACAAAACCCTTGCTCCTTTGCTGTGCCGTTTCATGCTAAGCAGTCAATGGCATGCACGCTTTTCAAATGAGGAAACCGATGGCCAGGAAAGATAAATGGCTGGCAGCGACAGTCTGTCTCACGGGGCCAGATGCAGGTGTCCTGGCTACAGCACAGGGCCACTTCCCACAGGACATTTCCCATCTGTCCATCTCCTTTCCCCGTGTGGCTGTCGTGAGTGAAAGATGAAGCTTCCAGGTACTGAATCCCAGAGTAGATTTGTGTTTGTAAAGGAGCCAAGGATGCACTTCTTCCCTGTCTGTGGTATCCCACTGAGAATCATGGCTCCCTAAACATGTCTGGGCTTCTTGAAAACTCTAACATAGATCCTCGCACTCTTGTGTTTCTGAAGCAGTGCAGTGAGTCCAAACGAAGAACTGAAAATCGAGATAGTGTCTGAATGATCACTTCAGAGCCCTGGCCGCATGGAGACTGTTTGAATATCGTGTCAGCATCTCTTTGTACCAGAGTCCAGGCTAGATGCTGAGAATATAGAAATGAGTAATGTCCCCTTCCCACGTTCTATTTTTCAGACTTCTCCTGCTTTTATTTTCCAATCCCAAGGCACAATGAGAGTGGAAAATAGGTGATACAGATAAAATGTAAAACTCACTGCCATCGAATTGATTCCAACTTTTAACACCCTATAGGACAGGGAAGCACTGCCCCTGTGAGATTTTGAGACTATCACTCTTTATGAGAGTAGAAAGCCTTGCCTTTCTCCTGCAGAGCAGCTCGTGGTTTTGACCTTCTGACCTTGCAGTTAGTAGCCCAGTGCATAGCCACTAGGTCACCAGGATTCCCCATACAGATAAAGTGCACATTTAAAAAAAAGTTCACTTTAATATCCTTCCTGCAAGTACCGCATATACTCAAGTATAAGCCAACCCAAATATCAGCCGAGGTCCCTAATTTTACCACCAACACTGCATTAAAAATGTGCTGGAAAAACTCAGCTTATACACGAGTCTATATGGCAATTTATTATTTATTTATTTTAAGCACGTTTGTGAAATCTTGAAAGGAACGTTTACCCAAGACACCATCTTTGTTGTGGTTAGGTGCCCTCTAGCCCATTGCCACCCATAGCGGCCCTGTGCACAACAGAACAACACACGCGCCCAGTCCTGCACCCACTTCACTCTTGTTAGGTTTGAGCCCATTGCTGCAGTTACTGTGTCTGTCCACCTCATCAAGGGCCTTCCTCTGTTTTGCTGCCCTCCGTTTACCAAGCTTGATGTCCTTCTCCCGGGTCTGGTCTCTTGTGACAAAAGTCTGTGAAACAAAGTCGCTCCGTCTTTGTGAGGCTGTCTCTGTTAGAGTATCCACTAGAGCTAAGCAAGGGAAGTGGGACGGGAAGGTACATCCCAGAAGAGCAGAGATGTAAACAAAAGAAAGGGTTGGGCCAAGGCTAGAACATCTATGCTTGTACGATGCCCTTTCATTGACTGAGACATCTGTTTTGTAATCAAACATCAAACCCTTTTGTGCCTACTACCAATACTCTGTGTACATACATGGTATCCTGGTTAGTTTCAGCATTTCATTCCATTGAAGAAATGTTATGTGGACGTGGTACTTTGCCCCCTCCCAGCCTTGGTGTCTATTGTCAGTCTGAAATTGTGAAGCCATTCCATCTACAGTCACTCTATTAAATAGCCATTTGCAGACTTGTCAGTGTCATCACACCTCAGATCATCTGCCTTAGCATTGAACCTCGGGCAAAGGACAACGGTGCATTCCCAGGGGCTGCCCCCTGTAGCAACCCAACACGGATGCTCTGAACACCCCGAATTCATTTGCTGGACATATTCCCAGCTGTTTGATCTTTCATGCAGCTTTTACACATACCAGGCCACCAGCCTGGTGTGCCACTGAGTTTTTATTGGCCACAGCAGGGTTGACAGTTTACCCACCCTCGGGGTCCTGGGTTTATTACGACAGAAAGTCACTTAACTGGAATGAAATGCATTATCTTGAAGAAGAAGAAAGGGATTCTTGATGTCTGCAAAAGAACACAGTGACATATGCTGAGGTCTGTTGTCGTTTGAGGTCCACATGAGTCCAGGAGACCACGTCTTTGATGCTGTCTGTAATCCCACTTCTCAGCTGGTAGAATGTGACTTGACTGCTAGTCACAAGGTTGTCAGTTTGAACCCACCTAGAGGCACCTTGGAAGAAAGAGCTGACAGAGAAGGCTTTCTGCTCCCATAAAGAGTTACCATCTTGGAAACCCATAGGGGCAATTGCACTGTGTCCCGTAAGTCACTGTGAATCAGAATCAACTCAATGGCAGTGAG